GGCGGGGTATAAATTAAATAAATAATAATAATAGCAAGGAGAGACAAGAGAGCCTTCTTAAATGAGCAGTGCAAAGAAATAGAGGAAATTAATAGAAAGGGAAAAACCAGAGATTGTTAAAAAAATGGAGATATTAAAGGAAAATTTTGTGCAATGATGGACATGATAAAGGACAAAAATGGTAGGGACCTAACAGAAGCAGAAGACATCAAGAAGAGGTGGCAAGAATACACAGAGGAATTGTAACAGAAAGATCTGGATGACCCGGACAAGCCAGATAGTGAGGTTGCTGATCTTGAGCCAGACATCCTGGAGAGTGAAGTCAAGTGGGTCTTAGAAAGCATAGCTAACAACAAGGCCAGTGGAGGTGATGGCATTCCAGTTAAACTATTTACAATCTTAAAAGATGATGCTGTTAAGGTGCTTCACTCAATATGGCAGCAAGTTTGGAAAACTCAGCAGTGGCCAGAGAATTGGAAAAGGTCAGTCTACATCCCAATCCCAAAGAAGGACAGTGCCAAAGAATGTTCCAACTACCGTACAATTGCACTCATTTCACACGCTAGCAAGGTTATGCTCAAAATCCTACAAGATAGGCTTCAACAGTATGTGGACCAAGAACTCCCAGAAGTACAAGCTGGATTTTGAAGGGGCAGAGGAACTAGAGAACAAATTGCTAACATTCGCTGGATTATGGAGAAAGCCAGAGAGTTCCAGAAAAACATCTACTTCTGCTTCATTGACTATGCAAAAGCCTTTGACAGTGTGGACCACAGCAAACTGTGGCACGTTCTTAAGGAAATAGGAGTGCCCCACCACCTTATCTATCTCCTGAGAAATCTGTATGTGGGACAGGAAGCAACAGTTAGAACTGGATATGGAGCAACTGATTGGTTCAAAATTGGGAAAGGAATATGACAAGGCTGCATATTGTCCCCCGGCTTATTTAACTTATATGCAGAATATATAATGCAAAAGGCAGGACTGGAGAAATCCCAAACCGGAACTAAGATTGCCAGAAGAAATATCAACAACCTCAGATATGCAGATGATACCACTCTGATGGCAGAAAGTGAGGAGGAATTAAAGAACCCCGTAATGAGGGTGAAAGAGGAGAGCGCCAAAAACGGTCTGAAGCTGAACATCAAAAAAACTAAGATTATGGCCACTGGTCCCATCACCTCCTGGGAAATAGAAGGGGAAGATATGGAGGCAGTGACAGATTTTACTTTCTTGGGCTCCATGATCACAGCAGATGGAGACAGCAGCCATGAAACTAAAAGACTCCTGCTTCTTGGGAGGAAAGTGATGCTGAGTCTCCAATACTTTGGCCATCTCATGAGAAGAGAAGACTCCCTGGAAAAGACCCTGATGTTGGGAAAGTGTGAAGGCAAGAGGAGAAGGGGACGACAGAGGACGAGAAGGATGGACAGTGTCACCGAAGCTACAAACATAAATCTGACCCAACACTGGGAGGCAGTGGAAGACAGGAGGGCCTGGCGTGCTCTGGTCCATGAGGTCATGAAGAGTCGGACATGACTTAACAACTAAACAACATAAGGCTATTGAGTCCAACACCCTGCTCAGTGCAGGAATCCAAAGCAGATCTGACAGATGGCTGTCCAGTTTTTTCTTGAATGACGCCAACTTTGGAGCGCTCACTACCTGCCAAGGTAATTGGTTCCATTGCTATACTGCTCTAACAGTTAAAAAGGTTCTCCCCCCCCCCCGCCAAGATTCAGCCTAAATCTGGCTTCCTGTAGTTTGAGTCCATTATTACATGTCCTGCACTCAGGGATGATCAAGAACAGATCCTGCCCTCCTCTGTGTGACAACCTTTCAAGTATTTGAAAAGTTCTATCATATCTCCCCTCAGTCTTCTTTTCTCTGGGTCAAACATGCCTAGTTCTTGTCTTTCCTCATAAGACTTGGTTTCCATCCCCCTATCATCTTTGTTGCCCTCATCTGAACTTGTTTCATTTTGTTGGCATCCTTCTTAAAATGCGGTGTCCAGAAATGGACAGAATACTCTAGATGAGGCCTAACTAGTGCTGAATAGAGGGAAACTGGTGCCTCATGGGATTTGGAGACTATACTTCTATTAATACATTATAAAATCACATTTGCCTTTTATGTCACTATACCTCATTGTTGGCTCATATTCAGCTTGTGATCTACAAGAATTCCAAAATCCTTCTTCCTCATAGTATTGCTGAGCCAAGTGTCTCCCATTTTGTAAATGTGTGTTTGATTTCTTTTTCCTAGGTGCAGTACTTTATTTGTTTGTTTGTTTGTTTGTTTGTTTATTAAACTTATATGCCGCCCATCTAGACAATGTCTACTCTGGGTGGCTCACAGCAAATAGAATAAAACAACTGAAAAATAACAACAATATCTCAACAATAAACAGTCATTCAAGAGGGAGGAAAGAGAATAGATTTAGTGGTGACCGGAGGGAAGGCCTGCCTGAATAGCCAGGTTTTAAGTTGGCTTTTGAAAATTCCCAGCAAACGGGCCAAGTGGATCTCGGAGGGGAGATTATTCCAAAGACAGGGAGCCACTGCTGAGAAGGCCGGTTTCTTGTTTTTTCTTTCCAGACCTCCCTCGCCGTCAGGCTCTTCAGCCACACCTCCTGGCTGGAACGAGTGATGCGAGTAGATCTAGGTGGGAGGACGCGTTCCGCCAAAAATCGAGGTGCTAAACCATTTAGGGCTTTATATGTAATCATTAAGACTTTGAAATCAATGCGGGAGTGAATGAGCAGCCAATGCGAGGTGGCCAAAGTGGGGGAGATATGTTGATGTTTTCTCACCCCACTGAGGAGTCTGGCCACCGCATTCTGCACCATCTGAAGTTTCTGCATCACTCTCAAAGGTAGCCTCACATAGAGCGCATTACAGTGGTCTAATCTCGAGATTACAAGCCCATGGACCACATTGGTGAATGCCCCAACATCAAGATAGGGATGCAGCTGGGCAATCCGCCAAAGTACTTTGCACTCATCCCTATTAAATTTCATTTTGTTGTTTTCCACCCAAAGCTTGAGCCTATCAAGATCTTTTTGAATTTTGTTCCTGTCTTCCAAAGTATTAGCTATTCCACCCAATGCTGTGTCATCCACAGATTTGGTAAGTATTTTCTGCACTCCTTCATCCAAGACGTTAATAAAAATGTGTTGGTATGAAGGCCATCCTGGATCATTTCAGTCTATCTTGAAATAATGGTTGTCAAATAATGGCAGTAGGAATACCACTGGTGGGATGAAGATGCAGCCTAGACAGGACACAAGAATTTCATAATACTTTTTAAGCTTGTGTTCTTCTTCAAACTACATGTCCTCCTGCAAGTATGATATGCCATCTTCTCCAAATGCTCCTACCAGCCATGAGCAACACCCCCCCCCGCAACTGTTGGGCTAGGAGTGGTTCTGTCTCTTTTCTAATTCCATGCTCTCCTTGCCCATTAGAGAGTGTCACTGATATGCCCTTTCTTTTTCATTTCAACCCCCACCCCACAATAACAGAATGCTTGAAAGTCTATAAATGTCCTCAGAAAAGCTAGTATTTTATGCATAAAAATGCATACAATTGCATTAAAAAGCATTCTGTTGTGATTGATAGCGTGTAAGGAAAAAAAAGGTTGAGAACCAATGGCTTAGGCCATTTTGACTTTGATATGCTCCCCAATCAGGGCCAATTCTGACATCTTGACAGGCTTGAGATTCTCTTCCAAACCCAAGACTCCCTCTGGCCACAGCCACATGTAAAGGGATTGTGACAAGTGTTGTGCCAGATGCACCCAAATATTCTTAAGCTGCCCTGTGCATGCCCACACATGACCCATACATGACTCCTATAACATATTGACAGCCGTGTAGTAAATTGAAATAAGGCACACTAAGTCCCCATGCCACATGAAACCAGAGATACAAATGTACACTGCTCAGTGTTAACTGGATATGAACCTCTGACAGACTTCTGCAAAGTCTTTTGAAAAGACCATGCACTTACCAAACTCTTCTAAATATCCTACCATGTGTTTAACAACCAATGGAATATGATGGTGTGTTCCCTCTTCAGTACAGTGGTTTAGGGGAACTCCAAATGCTTTCTGAGGTACTGGTCCGATTTTATTTCTACAGCGCCTAACTTCTATGGAGGATAACGATTGCTGAAAACAAAAAGAAAATAACTTTTGCTGTAACTGCTTCTCGGAGCATTCTTAAATCAATGATGCAGAAGAAATTGTCTGAAGCCGAGAAGGAACAGAAAAACATTTTGCACGAATTGCATGACTCATGAAAAACCATGTGATTCAGGAAAGAGACATAAAATATACAGCGTGTGGTATTAGCACAATGTTTGTTTATGTGCCATCAATTTGAAACTGACTGATAGTGACCCTCATAGGGCTTTCAAAGTGAGAGAGATATTTAAGGAGTGTCTTCAACAGTTCCAGTTAGCTTTCATGGCTGGACGGGGATTCAAATGCCAGCCTCCCAAGCCCTAACCCATCTCTTTAACCACTACACCACACTGGGTATCTCATTAGCACAAAACACTAGGAAGAAAACAAAAATCTCAAATTAGCAAGGAAATTTTGGTTCTCTTAGCTGAGCAGAACCAAAGCTTTTTTCCCCTCTTCAACTTGCGCCTTTTTAAAACTCACATCCAAAAACAATTTCCATTAAAGGACACTGTTGTTCAAGTAATACCAGCCTTTTAAGGCCCAATTTACCTTCTATTATTTTCTTGTCTTCATACCATCACTCTATCAAAATGCAGGCAAGCTAAGATTTTTATTTCCATACAGAATACTTTGACCTGAAGCTTTGTTTGCTTAAAATGTATGAGCTTGTACCATAATATGCATCAGGGTTGCTGTTAAGTTTAATAACAAGGGTTGAAGACTGTAATGTAGATGTATCGAATCCATCATACATTTATGGTATGAGATAGAATGAGACAGAAAAAGTTAAGATAAGATCTGGACAACATGTATGAACTGATGCCAGATTGCACACTGATCTTAATCTCACACTTGCTTGCTAATCTTCATAATGTTAATATGTGTGGGGGGGCTCCATTTGTATCTTTTGAGGTTGAATTATTCTAGAGTCATTTACATTTTGTAGTCAAATAAAACCCTATTTCTTTAATTATTCAGCTTCACAACAACATAACAGGTTGTTGTGTTGCCCTGTGTTCAGTTGTTTACCTTGGTTGCCATGAGAAAAATATGCTCAGAGGACATTCCTACAACACACATATGAGCAAATTTATATTCTTCAACCTATATATACATATACTTAACATAAATTTTGTTGAATTAATAGGTAATAATTCAGTAATTAGGTATAATTGCCTGTTACCTAGTAAAAACATATGATGAGATCCAATTGTAAGGATAATGCCTATGGCGAGATTATTACTGAGTGCAGCAATCTGATTATTTTTGAAGGAAGCCTTCAGTTTAACTGCAAGATGTATTATGTGATAAATAAACCATCATATATCTTTTGAACACAGTGAGACTGGAATGAAATTTAGAGCATGTGCTTTGGATGAATTTCTGCGTTTACCTTCAGACACTACTTCATGACTTTAATCCTGTTCCCAAGGAGAGGAAAGCTATTAATAGATATAAAGTGCAATTTAAATATTTTAGTCCTTTCACAAAATAAAGTCTCTCTGCCCTGAAGACTGATATCAGAGCAAAGTCAATATGGATTGTGCAGGTCACAGGTCTGTATTTTAAGGTTAAGCAGCAGCTTGAGGAACACTACACCTGTTTTCAAAGGAGCTAAGAAAAAAAGCTAGCTGCTCTAATGTAATATTCCTTTGAGCATAATGAAACCCGAGGTGTTCATTTATAACATTAATGACAAAATCCTACATTGATTGTGCAATCAGTTGTGCAGTTCCATTACAACCCGTGCACGGTGTGCTAACAGAACTGCTTCGCTCAGTGGGCATAGGGCCAAGCCACAGCTGCATAACTAACCAAAGTTTTTCCCCAGTGTGACATTTTTCATCACAATTCTGAGATTGACCTCCCACCATCACCTCATTTTAAATGGTGTGGTGAGCAAAAGATGTAGGACATCATTATTGTGGAAAATCTATTATGAATCTCAGTCATAATGTTTTCCTAGTTATTTGAGAATACATCACACTCTAATCAATGGGACATGTCAGAGTAAAATGCAATCAGCAAATTAAAAAGATGAAAATGTTAATGGGAATTTTTTTTTTTACAAAAGCATTAATTGAACAGATCACCCAAATGCATAACTTGTTAGAACAACCCCTTAAGTCTACTTAAATATTTCAGAAGTTCTTTCTACTTCTTTCATCTTCCCCCTTTTAAAAACCTTCTGAAATCAGAGAATTTTTTTCTCCTTTTGCAACATATTTGAGAAACAATGACCAATTGTGTTCCACTTACACAGATTGAAAAGGAGGCACCTGTTCCCATGTTAAGCCCGAAGAACCGAGCGGCAGCACATTAGAACATAACATACAAACATCATGTTCTTCAGCCAGTCCGTGTCATCTTCTCAGCCAGACTGCCATGCAAGTGTTGTACAAAACACTGAAACAACTATCCAGTCATATGTGGCGTCTTGATCTTGAGTACTGCAAACGTTCAAAAGAAAAGTCCTGACAAGGACAGAATGTGGGTTTTTTTTCCTTCTTATTCTGCCTTCTAGGCTTTTTGTCTAGTTAATTCTAGAACAAAAACTCACTGAGGTGTCACAATCAAAGGTGTTGCCATAGCATCTGACACCCACAACAGGACAGTGTTACTTCCGGCAGTGCCACAGCCTGCCCAGCTGACACTCCTTGGGAAGGAGAACAGCTGAGTTTACCAGCTGCCCTTTCCCAGCCATGCTCCAGCCCGAGGGGGACGGTGTCTGCATGAATCAGAACCATTCGTAGACAATTTAGCATCCAGGTAGAGCTTGGACAGTTATCTTCTGAAAGTAGCTTTGTTATTGCGATTATCATTAGCATTGCCAAAAAAAGAGAGAGCCAAATTAGTTTCTTCTTGAAATGCTGTTTACTATTTACAAGTAACTCATACATTACTTAAAAAAAATCTTTGGATCAGAAAGGCAGTGGCACAAACAGTGAAAAGCTTTGCACAAAATGTCTATAAAACACCCTGAAAGCTAATTAGAAAATGTTACTTGTTAGAACTTTTTACACTCTCTTCTCAACAAAACAGAAGACTTTGGTTTAGGTAAGTACATTAATAGTTAATTCCTTACTTTCAGATTCTATCCAATGGATGATCCTTTTATAGATGGGGGGCGTAATTGGTTTAAGGTGCTAAATTTTAAGAATCTTCCTAATTAATTCACCTTCATACTAAACACCGCTGTCCCTTATGAGATGCTATGTTCAAAAGTGGAGAGGCATGCCAGGTGAAATCTTTAAAGCTGAGGCTTGGAATCAATAATTTCTGCAGCATTTTGCATCCCTCCCCATGATTAGTAGAAGCATAATCAATTGTGGTAATAAAGAAATGTACAACAATATGCTTCTTGCACATCATTTGTTGCTGTTAGCAGAATTCAGCGGGCAGTGGATGCACTTTTGTCTCCCAATAATTAGAAGATTCAGGAAATATAGAAACATGCCGTTAAATGTACCATACCCTAAAGCAGGCCACATCCAGCTTGCCTTGTCTTTTTATCCGGCCCAGCGAATGTTGCAGGCTCGAGTCCGCAAACCTGTGCATGCGTGTGGGGGGGCGGGAGGGCGGTGCATGTGAGCGGACAGGAGGCAGGCAGGAGGCGGGCGTACGCTCATGTGCACATTCCTTCAGCCCTCAAAAATGTGGAAAATATATGACATGACCCTCAAGGTGAAATGTTTGGAGACCCCTGACCTAAAGGCTTGATCTATAATGGGCTCAGGGTTCAACTTTCGATAGCGCAGAATCTGGATTGTCTGGTCACAGAAGCATGTTGCTTGTCATGCAGCTGATCTGGGGGGAAAAAGATACCTGGCTTGTGCAGAGATGGAATATATCAGAAGCACAACATGGGGGGGGGAGAGTGTTTATTTATTTGTTTTTTAGATTTTTACCCCTGTCCCAGTGAGAACCATCCTGCCACTGACTGTTATCCTCAATGAGAGGAGAGCTCTCCTTGGTACTAATAATTTCCCCCCTATTTTGGAAATATAGTAGAAGGTATGGGTGGAGGTGTGATTCCTGTCAGGATTACAGAGGAAACAAAGTTTAAGGCTCCATTCCCGTGTCGTGTCCCCAGTCCCACTCCCCTATTCATTCAAAGCCAACTAGTGGTTCAACTAAATTATCTACAGAAGGCTTTTCTAGTATATGACAAGCATCAGGTTTGGCCCTCCATATGGTTTTCATTGAGATACTGTAATATCTTCTCCTAAGGTAGTCATATGCAGGCCTAAATAAAGTCCAATACAATCTAATACTAGTAGAAAGGACTCTGGAATGCATGCACATGGGCTTGGCTGCACACCAAATACACAAAATGAAAAAGATATTTATTAGCAAAGAGCTGAATCTCCAACATACCCCTATGGGAAATGATTTGGTTTGTTTTATAAGTGACTATAGAAATCAGAAGAAACTCGCCATACCCCTATGGGAAATGATTTGGTTTGTGATGTAGTGAATAGAGTGATGGACCAACTTTTGCGAAGCATGTGCACATTCCTTTGCTTGGCCATGGAGCCTCTCTGTTTGTTTGTTTGTTTGTTTGTTTGTTTAACTTCTATGCCGCCCACTCTACCCAAAGGTCTCTGGGCGGCTTACAACAATTAAAATTCAATTAAAATACAATAAAAGATAAAATGATTAAAATACAATTAAAATCGCCATCAGGACCCACAGTTGATGCTATTTCAATTAAAAGCCTTCTGGAACAGGAAGGTTTTGACCTGGCACCAAAATGTCATTGTCGGCACGTCGGTGCCAGACGAATTTCAGTTGGGAGGGCATTCCATAGTCTGGGAACAGCTGCCAAAAAGGCCATTTGTCTTACCTCCTTAGGGGACGGCTCTTTCAAAAGGGCCCCCTGGCTAGATCTTAACTGCCGGATAGGTTCATATGGAAGGAGGCGTTCCTTCAGTAGGGGACGGCTCTTTCAAAAGGGCCCCCTGGCTAGATCTTAACTGCCGGATAGGTTCATATGGAAGGAGGCGTTCCTTCAGGTATCCAGGGCCCAAGCCGTTTGGGGCTTTATATGTCAAAGATGTGGAACTGGCAAAACCACACGTTTAAATATCTCACTTACCTTGAAAACTCTACTCGGGCCACTATCAGTCGATTACAGCTTGATGACACATAACAACCACCTAGAAATCAGGTGCACAGTCTGGCAAGCCAAGCACTGTGCAAAGAGTTCTGCTGGCCCAAGATAGCACTGGAGTGATGTTTCCAGAAGGGCAGCCCTTCACACCAATAGCAAACCAAGACATTTGGGAGCCTCTTGCAATACGGCACACACAAAGATATCAAAAAAATACACAGTCAGAACTTGCACAGGTCATTGACCAAAGCTTAGGTTCTAAGTATCGGTCTCGGCCATAGGGGATAAGGGACCCTTATTCAAGAGGAAGGCTTTGTAGATAGCAGATTATTGAAAGGTGTAAGAAAAACACTGAATTGTGATCGCCTCACTCTGAATCCACCCTGCATTCTCATTGTTTGCTTTATCTTTTTCCAGTTCTAAGCTTTTCTTTTTCCATCTTATGTGGTAATTTATAAATACTTTTGAATACGTTTTCTGTAGTAGATACATTTATTTACCCAACAAATGCATTTTTACACATACTGTATTCCTGCTGACTAAAGCATCTTTGTGCATAGTTGTGAACTGCAGATATGTTTACCTATTTCCTTTTTAAATTGTACACAACCATTTCTTGGAGAACAAAAAGAAAAGGAAAAACAGCAATCTGCTGGAATGAAGGCATCCAGCTATATCAATAGCATCAGGGTTAGAGGTTGTGAACTGCAGATATGTTTACCTATTTCCTTTTTAAATTGTACACAACCATTTCTTGGAGAACAACAACAACAAAAAGGAAAAACAGCAATTTGCTGGAATGAAGACATCCAGCTATACCAATAGCATCAGGGTTAGAGAAAAATGTAAAAAATACCACCCAGACATGTTATAGTACTACTAATCATAGCAGTAGTAGAGAGAGGAAAAAGAAATGATCGTTTTCTTCATTTCCCTTCTGACCACAAGATGTTGATGAAACTCCTGATCTCCATCAAAAACTAACCTTGATTCTTGTGCAGTAAATGGAAATGTGACATTTCCTTCACCGCACTCTAGCTTCATCAAGTCATTCTCAAATCCTTTTAAAACTTTAATAATTCTTGCTCAATGTCACAGTTAAGAAGCTGCATGTCAGAAAACACCTCTATGCATAAGAAGTCCTCCACATTCTTCTTTTCTTCCTGGTAAGATCTATGTGCAGAAATACCTACATTTCCAGCACAGTATTTTGGGAAACAGGTCCATTTTAATAATCAGTTGAGACCTGGAAGAGTCTCAGCTTGTTTTGCCCTCCCCCAATAATTTTCCAAAAGATGACACATCACACAAAAATGTGCCTTCATTCTTTGAACACTGCAGTTCTGCTTTTGATTCTTGTTGTACAAATTTGAAAACCTAATGAAATATAGACACTCCATCCAAAGACGTTCATAGATATGAAATGGGTTTCTGAGCATGTATCCCTAGATAGGACGTGCAAACTATTATATCTACACTGCAGTGCTTCCTTAAAACCCAGCTGCTGGAGATTTGCATAAGGAGCACCATTTGGAAACTAGCTATGGCCTGTTCAAGAGGCAGAACAGGTTGGGGCTAACATTAATCCACTCTTCCTCTTTTTACAAACAGCTTGTCGGCATAATTGCTTCTAAAAGGCTCAACATGTCTGTATATTTGGATCAGGACCACATAGACAAAAAAGAGTAGCAAACTTGTAACTGAATTAATCGGGCCTTGTAATGGGATCAGCTTAAAAGTTAATTTGTCTTATTATATGAAGGGGCTCTGCTTATTATGCCCCATCGTAAGAGCCGAGAGGGATGAGCAAAGTATAAAATGCTACATTTCATGGCTAAGGACTAGATACAAAATCTTTGACAGCAAATGGTTTTGTATGTGTTTGGCAGATCCAATTTAGATTTTTTTAAAAATTTTGGTGCATGTTCTATAGACTTAGTACATTAGCCTCATTCATTTCTGTTAAGGGCCCTATTAAATAACTTATTGGATCATTTCTTCCTGGCAACCATGTTTCAATATATGACCATTTAGAAATGAAACGCCTTTGAATCTTTGAAAGGGCTAATTCTATGGCCATTTAACAGATACTGTATAATGATTTGATGAGGTTAGGGGGACTTCTAAGAGTTTCATTAAACTGGAACCGACGCAAGAGTTAAAAATGTTTCAAGCTCTTAATTATTGTTTCATTACTTATATTTATTCCTTGGTTTTACAGATTTTGGTTGAACAGTTTGTTTTCACAAACATGCACAAGATAGGCTTCCAAAGAAGTCAGAAGTAAGCTATTAGCAGTGCAGCACCTTCAGAAGCTTCACTCTTCCCAGAAGCTTCACTCTTCCCCTCTGATTTCTTCCACAGATAAGGCGACCAAGCTCTTTTGCTGGGCCATCCAACAAGGCATTTACCTTCTGAGGAAGCAGCGCTTAGATTCTTATTACATTCAGGCTGATATGACCAGGCTGTTTTAAAAGTTTCTGCCTACAGAAGAACCAGCATTTTTGCAGTGGGAAGCAAGTGCCATCTTTGTCCAAAGATATGCAAAAGCAAAACTGTTTCCATGAAAGTTCATATAAAATACATTTTGTTCCATTATAAAAAATATTCCACTGGTGAATATGTAGTACAATACGCCATCAGAAAAGAAGCCACAAGTGAGGGAACATACTAGCACCAGATCTGACCTCAATGCATGCTTCAGGGTGTATGCAGATTTCAGTGCTCAACATGAGTGTACCGCTCTGTATACGTAGAGTCCCCTACAGCAGAACTACTGGGGAAGCCCTTGCAGAGGAATTCCACATATGTTTCACGGTTCCAGTGCATGCATTCTGAGCCCCTGATGGAAGGTAGACCAGAAATATAACTCCTGCGCAACAACAGGGCTTTCTGATTATCAGCAAAGGGAAGGCAAGAGGCACCTCGTGCTGATGGTATTTTTCATGTGCTATAGTCAAAAATGGGCTATACACCCCTGCAATGGGCTCTGGGATCAAAGCTGTAAAACATCTGAAGATAGTACAAAAAGATTTTTTTTAACTTCATAAATTAAAAAAATGGAAATGACTAAAATGTCTTGCTTTGCAGTATAAAAAAGTAGCAGCAAGTGTTCCACACTGTTGCTTACACTCTTGTTGCCTCTTTGTAGGAGCAAGTGTTTGGAAGTGGCTTTTCTGGTTGATTGTTACTGTCTGTATTATTGCAACATGGCAGGGCTGCCCCCAACAAAAGCAGCCCTCCAAATAGGACACAAAGTCCACTGAAGTAAAATGCTATCTCATAAGACTTTGTCCAGTCATAAAACCAACCTGGAAAAAAGAACAAGAGGTATTATCAGTTTGCGCATACTTTACATAATGATCTCCTGAGTTTCTTTTATTATCTGCATCCAGAGATTAAACAGTAAAAGACTACATTTGCTGTTTTCTAGAAGGAGAATGGAGTATATGGAGAATATTATCTGCTTTTCTGTGAGGTTAACATTGACTGCATGCAGATATCATGGCAAGGCATGTTTTGTTTTTACATCTGAACCAATTCCAGCACACAAACCATAGTTTCTGATGACCTGGCTGGAGGTCTGGGTAGTAACAAGAGCCAAATAATTACAGCAGGATAGAATATTCTTGTTAGCAGTGTTTCCCTGCTCTGCTGAGTTAACCTTCAGTCTTCCGGATCAGCCCACCAAGATATATACAGCATTGCTCCCAAATGTCTTTGCACTCAGACACTGTCAGATCACTAATATTACATCCACTCCTACCTCAACCTGGGAAAATATAATAGAATAATATATGGTTTTGAAACTTTGTGAATCAGAAAATTAAACAACGGCCATTTTGTACAAACAGGGTTTTGTCTGTAAGATCTACTTTCTCAAATTTACAATGACCTCTAAGCAGAAATCAGGTATTTCACTTTCCAGGATTTCTTATTTAATAAATTTGTATTTGCTACAGCCAACGAAAATTAACTTCTCTAGATGGAAACACAACTTTAAAAGCAAGTAAATATTCTACAGTATAATGGACTATGCTTTTAAAGAAGAAATCTTACCTACAATTGGCGGTCCGAGGCTGTTTCCAAGTCCAGCAAAAAACATCAGTACTCCATAAGCATGTGTTAATTTCTCAATTCCTACTGTTTTTGTGGTGACATATGGAAAAATTGACCAATTCCCCGTCAGAAAACCTAAAACACCTGAAAGTATTGCCAGTGTAGCATAACTTTGGGCAAATGGAATCAAAACCAGTGCCACTGCCGTCATTATTAAGGTCAAAACATATAGATATAAAGCATTGATCCAGGCAAAATCTGCTAATATTCCTAGAACAAGTTTACCAATGGCAGTCATGATGCCTATTATAGAAATAAGTGGAATTACACAGTCTTCTTCACTGATGTTTGCACTCTTTGCTATGTCTTCCATGAGCAGTGATGGAGGAAAGCCACCAATGTCAAAGAAGAAGATGGCAATAAAAAGTGAGGAAAACACTTTGTTTTTAAAAAGACCCAGTGTTTCCTCCCAGTAGTCTAAATACAAATGCCATTTCTTTTCGGCAAGCTGTTTACAAAAATATGTCCGTTCTACAACTTTCTTCCTGTAAGTGTTTGTCTCTCTGGGTGTTAATGATAACAGTTTATTCTTCATTGTAAGAGACTCCTGCTTACAATCATGAAGAGATGTTCTATTCACATTTTTTTCTTCATTCCTGGACTTTTCAAGTATGTTTATGCTTTCTTCGTAAACATTCTTCTCTTTTTCATTATAAATGAGATATTGCTCTGGAATCTTCTCAAGGCATGGCATATCTGGTAAGGTGGCACTTTCTGACTTCAAAGGCCTCATTAAACTCCCGCAGGCTAATATATTTAGAGACAATGCACCAACAATAAGCAAACACCCATCCAATCCATACAGCTCAATTAATTCTTTTTGTAAGGCCGCATATATAAAAAGCCCAATACTGGATCCTAAAAGGAAAAAATAAAAGTAGTTAAATTATTTCATGTGTCCTTGTGTGTTTGTGTGTGTGTGTGTGTGTGTTTGTGCGTGTGTGTGTGTGTGTTTAAAGGACATAAATTTTGCAGAGACGGTTTGGGTGGTGCACAATATGGAGACCTTGATGAGGAAAGAAACAGAAAAACAGAAGGTTCTCATCCCCGTTTCCAAGCCATAGAGCCAGCATTTTGTCCAAAGACCATCTTCTGTGGTCACATGGCCAGTGCGACTTAGACATGAAATGCTGTTACCTTCCCACCGAGGTGGTCCCTATTGATCTACTTGCATTTGCATACTTTCGAACCGCTAGGTTGGCGGGAGCTGGGACAAAGCGACGGGAGCTCACTCCGTCATGTGGATTCGATCTTATGACTGCTGGTCTTCTGACCCTGCAGCACAGGCTTCTGCTGTTTAGTCCGCAGCACCACCACGTCCATTAGAATTGACTTATGGTGACCTTAATAGGGCTTTCAAGGTAAGTGAGATATTTAAGGTGTAGTTTTACCAGTTCCACTCCCCCAATAGGTTTCCATGGCTTAGCAGGAATTTGAACCCTGCTCCAGAGTCTTAGTCCTCACTCAGTCCACTGTACCACACTGGGATGGGAATTATTTCATATATTAACCTATAACATCCACACTGCATGCAGTCCACTAGAGCATAATAGTTTATTACTATTGTAATATACTCTAACGTAGGTGATCAGAGCCATAACTAGTCATTTGGTACTTGGGACAAGTGGAACAATCTCCGACCCACTTTGCCCTTAAGCATCGGCATGAGCCCCATAAAAAAAGAAGAAAAATGTGGTGTCTCCTCAAGACATAAAATAAAATAAAGTTTATGCTTTCCATACACAAAAATGTGAATGGGGCCAGGAGATGTTGCCATTTATTTTGTAACATGGACCATCAGATCCACCCCTAGATTTTCATGCCCTATAAATTTTGGTGTCCTGCAGCAAAGCCCCATTTGCTACACGCTACTTACAGGGCAGCTGTGGCTAAATACAATGTTTTAAAATTGATGGCTCTCGCTAAATACAATGTTGAACTATAGCTAGTGTCAATGTTTCAGCTTGGTGCAAACACAGTGTTTAACTACATTTCCTTCCTTTCCCAGGATTAAGATCATAAGCACCGAAGTTCCATTTGGATCTACCAACCTTCGGTAAGGCATTAAAAAACTGACCTGATCGTATGGATCCTCTCCAGCCTTCTATCCTCACAAATTCAGTTTCAATTACTTAATCCTTCTTTATCAAAGCTCCTAATTTGCTAGCAGGTTTGCAATGCGGATTTAAAGAGCTAAGACAAAACCTAATTTCGAAGCACAGAGGTCACAACAAATCATGGTCTGAATTAAAAGAGGAAGTAAGAGTTGGACACTTGGCTGTGGAACCAGAGGCTGAGAGTTCGATTCTTTACTGTACCTTCCAGGAGAAAGAGGCAGCATGCATAATCTTGAGCAAGTTGTAAACTCCTAGAACTCCTCAGAAGAAGGGAATGGGAAACACTTTTGAGCACTCTATGCCTAACAAACCCTGGAAGGGGCTTGGAATTGACTTGATGGCATATTATTCATTAGAATTAAGTGAGGCATAAAAAGGAGGAAAAGGGAAGAATGTCTGCGCAAACCACTTTTGCCATGGGCATTCAACCCTGGATGTGAGAAGGACCTATGGCGAAGCTATGGTTTCACTTGTCAAATTACAAGTAGGCACCAATATCAGCAGGAGCTGTTACTTCTTTAGGAATCTAACAGGAACGGAAACCATCATAATTATTAGTAGTCAAAGCAAATACAGTGCTTTTCTGTTACAATCAAACAACTAAACCATTTCGAAACATGGTTTAGCATCCTTGTTAAATACCAATTCTTAATCATAGTTTCACTGTTTTCATTAAAATAGTTGCGCTTAATGAAATCATAGTGACATGTTATAGTTGCATAACGATATTCAGAAAAAGGGGATTAATTTAGGCTTTAAACCTTACCTGTTGAAATTAGTCCAAGTGCAAGGCCTCTGCGTTTGTCAAAATACTGGCATGTGATAGTTACTGTTGCAGTATACAACAAGCCACACCCGAGTCCTAAAAATACAAAATGTTCATAACATAGAAATCAGGTATTCTTCTTATGAAATTAACATTTTTGACAGTTTTTACCCGAATGCCAATCTGATTTATGAGATTAAGTGGCATGAAGGATAACACTGGAAATGAAAAGGGTTTTGTGTCAAGCCTCCTTGGAATTACCATGTTTCCCCCAAAATAAGACAGGTTCTTATATTATTTTTTGCTCCAAAAATACATTAGGGCTTATTTTCAGGGGATTTTTTTTCATGTACAACAATCTACATTTATTCAAATACAGTGATGTCATCTTCTTCTGGTGGCTGCACAATGGTGGAGGGTGGGGCTCATTTTTTATTTTTCTTTTTATTAACTTATTTCTATTAACTGGGGCTTATTTTTGAGGTAGGGCCTATATTATGAGCATCCTGAAAAATCATACTAGAACTTATTTTCAGGTTAGGTCTTATTTTCGGGAAAACAGGGTAGTGACAATGACATGTATTGCAATGCTCTATGCCTCCTAATGATAAAAAGAACACTTTGAACATTAGAACACACTTTACACGTCAAGGGCCCTCAAGAGCCCACTGCCAAATACATATTTAGCAAATGGATAGTTTAAAAATAACGTCTATGAATTCTCTTACCAACAATAATTCCATAGGAACAAAACAAGAAGTAGAGGTTAGGTGCAAAGCTGCTGATCATCAAGCCCCCAGCAACCATAAAGCCACTGAAGATGGCGACCGGTCTTGCTCCAAAAGCTGATACGCATGTACTGCAAATAGGACCTGTGTGAGAACAGGGAATCAGGAGAGGACTTTTAAAAAATAAAAGTGGAGAATAACTTGAAAAATGAAACTGCATAAACAAGTACTTGAGATCTCCCCTTGTGACGGAAGTCCACTCAATCGGAAAATAAACTTTTAAAAAATAAAAGTGGAGAAGAACTTGAAAAATGAAACTGCATAAACAAGTGCTTGGGATCCCCCCCCCCTTATGACGGAAGTCCACTCAATCAGAAAACAAGTAGCTATCTTTAAAAGTTTTCCATGTTATTAGGAGAGAAAAATAATTCATTCCCAACTCCAATTTAGTGTTTATCTGGTTTTATGGAACCAGAAAGCGGAAGGTTAGCCAAGGCCCACAAGTGATTCTGAGAGCCAAAGAGGTGACATCCTCTTTCCGTAGTATTCACTTCCATATCGCATTCCCTGTCGTATAGCTCAGGTTCAAAGTTATATAATGATACCTACATCACACCTAAATATTGAAGTACTGAAAAAAGAAATGTTGCATTTTTAGAGATTTTGAGAGAAAGACAAAGCTGCATTTCTGCTCTAAAATTATTCACAGTGCAGACGATGCCAAAAGTTACATGGAAAAAAAAAACTCACTGTTTTCCGACCACCACACTGAGGCAACTGATGATGACGTCCTGTCCAATTCTGACTTATGGTGACCCTTTTCAGGGTTTTCCAGGTGGAGAATCCACAGGGGTGGTTTCTCACTCCCTTCTTGGCTCTTCTGGGATACTGAGTGGGGAACTGAACACCCAATCTCCGGCTCTGGAGCCAGATGCCTCATTCACTGAGCTTACCCAGCCAGCTTCGTTCAGGCGGCTACAAGGACCTAAAACCCAGAACAGCTTCTAGTGTCTGTGCCTGCATCTTCTTCAGTTTCCCACAGTGCTCCTAACATAATGTTACTCTTGGGCATTATGGGGCCCTTGAACAGCGGCTAGACTCAACTACACAGCAGTGCTTCAGATACCGCTGCTCAAAAGTGTCTGCAGGGTTTTTTTCCAAGGGGGTGGGCAAAGTCGCACAGCGGTGTGTTAGCAAAGTGGTATACAGCATACAACATTACGGCACAGCCTGCCTGCCTGCACATCTTAAAATAACAGAGGCAGGTAAGATTTGTGTGGTGCCCCCTTTCCACTGCCCTCAGACATCTAAAGTGCTCTCTGCTTCTGATACATCCCTCCAGGGGGGGTCAAGTCAGGGAGCCTGGTGCCCGATCATTTCCCTAAGAGCCCTACAGAACGTTATTGCCCTCTGGGGGAAAACTCAGAAACCTATGTTTGTCGCAGCTTGAATCTATCCCACAAGAGGGTTAATTCCAGAATGAAATCAATCATTTCCAATCACATCAAAATTCACCTGAGTATCAAAGGACAAATCTTTTTCAGTGTTGCAATAATCTCAGTCAACATCAGCTTGTCTAATCCTAAAAGCTTTATTTCTTCATTGCTCCTATGTTCTACAGTATGTGCACAAAAATACTTCAAAGTCCAATAGCCTGGTGTAGCAAAATAAAATTTAAAAAAAAATAAATTGGAATCTCTAATGTTTTTTGCACCTAGTGGAACTCCAAGGGTTTGTAACTTAGAATATGGTGGGCTGCAACTATGACGATAAGCATAATTATCTCGCAATGCCTGAAGGAATCAAGGCCTGCAATATAAAGCAACTGATGCACCAAGGTCCTGGAAAACCAGAGTACTGTAGTGTAGAGTACACTTCCAAGTCTTTCCTTTATATATTTTGATTTTAAACACATTCAACAGTCAGGAATGTTGTGGCACAATGAGCTCGCTTGGCTGGAGAGTTGACTAATTGTTTTGCAATTATTTTAATAAACTGCTATTTAACCCAAGACACTTCAAGCCTTGAGCTGAACCTACAACCCTGTACAGGAAAGGAGGTGAGAGCATTATTCGAATTCTCCTTAGATGTCTAAGGCTTTAATTAATATCTCAACACATCCCTCCCCACTGGTAACTTTCCTGTCAAGACTTCATGAATTCCATCTCTAATCTGTCCGATCTGGAGACTGTTCTGTAATGTAATTGGCAACGTCTTTCTGTTCTTTATCAACAACTAGTTTTAGTGGACCACAATTTATAAAAGTCTGGTGGGTCATCAGCTCCACTAACATTTCCACTCTCCAGAGTGGGCTGCTGTTAAATCCCCTGATTCTACCCACAGCAACAACATCTTTTTTTTTCTTTGCTGCTTTTTCTTTAATAAAAATAAAACTGTCCCAACTCACATTTTGGATGAAGAAATAGTTTTCTGAACAGAAAGGATCTCCTACACTCAAAGTTCACAACAACAGTGCCATCTTGTGCATACATAAAGGAAATGCACACTGAATGATGGGTTCTTAAACCATTGCCCAAATCAGAGTAGGGATCTGACCCCCTATTTTGATAAAAGATGTCAAAAGTATGCATAATGGATAAAAATAATCCAGTAGTCTAATCTGAACTATTTTATGAGCATATGTGACAGTCAAACCTGCTGCTAAGCAAACATGCTAACAATTTCAATTTGAGACAAAATTGTTCTTAATTATTTTAAGATAGTAAGCAAATGCATTAACTTATTTATACTGGAGTGATGGGGGGGGAGAATGCATCCAGTAACACAACACAAACAAAAAAAGCAATGACTGCTAACATTACAGAAGTTTCCTACCTTAGCCGCCCAAGGTAGACTTCAGTTTAAATGGGCAGTGTATAAATAAAATTAAATAAATAAATAAATAAATAATTCTTATTCTTATTCTTATTATTTAGTAAATCTTATTTAGCACTTCTACATTTTCCCCTGCTCCCCAAATATTTTAACTCAGTGCTGAATTCCAGTAGCAAGTCACAACTAGACCAGACCCAATGAAAGAGTGGAACTTACAAAGGAGTACATTCCTCACCAAATCCCCACTGATCCAGTGGACCTGGTCTAGTTGTGATTTACTGTTGAATTTCAGCCAGCGGTTCTGATGATGTGACTCTGCCTGTTACTATCCTTTTGAGGAGAACAGCTGTATTTAAGCAGCAAGGAAGCACTGGGGACAACAGGTTTCTGTTCATTTGCTTCAATAAACTGGGCTTTATCGGAACTCTTCAATAAGTATGTAGAAACTATGTGTAGGAATCAACACATCCAATGTGCAAGAATGAACTTACGTGCCTCTCTGAGATGACAGATGGGGTCAGCAACTATAGAACCAACCTGGGGCTATATCCTCCCCGTTATCCACGTATCCCAGATCTCCACATAACAACCCCTTTTTTCCAAAGCAGAAGTGAACATAAACTGTTTGCCAGTTTTGGAAGAGAAGGCACTTTGGACTTCAAAGTGATATACTCCACCCAAAATAGCATAAAATTGATGTTCATGCCTGCTGAAGGCTTCTGGGATGTGACTGTCCATTTTCATATATTTCTGCAATGTGGGGCTTGGGAGCCACACTTCAAATCTTGCTGGGCTGCATGGCACCCCACTGGCTGCACAATACCAACCCATTATCTGCCTCCATGCTTCAGATCTTCCATGACTCCGATGCAAGTAAATAAACCTCACTCCAAAGCTGTGTACTTGAAGAGCCAATTTTTGATAACAAAATTACAGTATGGTACTGTGGAAGACTTCATAATTCACCAGTTCTCCACCGTTTTAACAAATTGTCATGCATTGAAAGGTAGAACAATGCCAACAATGACTAAAGTTGTTGAGAACTGGTATCTCCTACCAGCCACCTGTCCAGTAATGGAGACAGCATGAAAGAATACTGTAAAGGTTCTACAGCTATCACTATTAGGAAGGACTGCAACAATCAAAAGGAACATCTTGTCAAAATTACTGTTTCTGTTTCAAACAGTGCCAGTGAAAATAGAGAAGAAATATTCTGATGATCTAAACAAGGCGATATTAAAATTTCTTTGACAAGGAAAGACAGCCAGAATCAAATTGAAAATGTTGCAAGAATCCAAGGAAAAGGGAGGCTTTGGTTTACCGGACTGGACCTTATATTACTAGTCATCTGTCCTAATGTCGCTGAAAGAATGGATTACTCTGAAAAACAAAACACTTTTGTATTTAGAGGGGCATGATTTACAGTTGTGTTCATGTGCCTTTTTATGGTATCAGAAAGCTAAAACCCACAGGTATTTGCAAAACCACTATATTAGAAATTTCTTGTATATAATATGGGAAAAAATAAAAATGAAAATGTACACAAAAATACCAGGATAGGTTTCACCTATATAAGCATTTGTTCATCCCAATCCTCTGAATTTTGAAAAAAAAAATTGACTTATATAGACCTTATAGACCAGGAATTAGATGCATCATGGTGGCCCATAATGCAAATACAATCTAGGTATGAAAGGGATTTAAAATGTATGATTTTTATAAAGAATAGACAATGTTTGACTAAATAATGTTAACATCAGATGATAAATTAATTAGGAAAATATATAAATTTCTTTGAAATTGGAAAATGGAGGACAAACAGGTCAAAGAAATAATGGTTCAATGGGCACATTTTTTTTGATATAATATTTACTTTTAGCAATGGCAAAAACTGTGGTCTAGAAACTATAAAATGACAATGGGGACATCTTATAAAGAGAATTTATATAAAAAGTTTTATAGATGGCATTTACCACCCAATAGATTAGCTAAAATGTACTATAATAGGTCAAGTAAATGCTGGAAATGTCATAAAAAACCTGGAACTTATTATCACCTTTGGTGGACCTATGATAAAGCAAAAAATGTCGGGGGGGAAATACATATATGTCTTGTTAAAATAATCAAAAGAAAATGTTGATTTTAAGCCAGAACTCTTTCTATTACGTATAATACCAGAAAGCGTTGATAAACAAAATGTATATTTAATACTGCATATTTTAATAGCTGCAAGGATTATGTTCGCACAATACTGGAAGAATGAAGAAACACCTATGAAACAAGAAATAGTTAAAAAGATATTGGACTGCGCCGAAATGGATAGACTGACACTGAAAATCAAAGGAAAGGAGATGCAGAATATTATCAAACATGGAACTTGTTTTATCAAGGGTTAGAAGCACGTTGTATAGATTAAGAGCTTAATATGTATTGTAGTTGTATTAACAAATGATTATAAGCTGAATCCAAGTGACACAATGTTAAATAAGCATGGATGGATTTTATAAATAATAATAACAAAAAGAACATTTAAAAAAAGAATACTGTAAAGGTGGTAAGTAATTGCAGACTGACGGTGCCAGCAGCATGGGAAATAAGAATGGAGCATCACATTCTGTCCAACAGGTATTCCATGAGGTCACCCATTCAAGGTCAGAAGAGAAGAGATTAGACTGGGTTTTTGATGCTGAATTTGCAGCTAGTAGCCAGAAGCCTTCGCAACCCAAGCCTAGAACCTCTTGTGCTCATTTCACCCCCCCCCCCCGGAGCCCAATCCACCTGCAAATTCATATACCTCTCATCCCACCCTGCTTACCCAACAGCATAAAAGGCATGCCAAATGAGAATGTGGTAAACAAGGCCACAGACAGGAGAAAAAACAATTGGCCTTAGGTCAGATGCTTTGCATTTTAAGGATTCACACTCCACCACAAGGAGGTGTGGCCCAGAAGTAGATTCCCAATGCCATAGTCTACTTCAGAGTCTTTCTCAAAATAACAACAAGAAGTTGTATGGTCTTTGAGATTTCACAAATATAAGAGTGGGTGGTGTCTTTTATTGAACCACTAAAATATTCCAAACATAATGCAAGGAATGGTGCTTGCTATGTGCTTGATACGGCCCCCAGAGGACTTTTGAAACCTGAGTCCTGAGATCACCTCTCCAGGCTGACTTGGAAAAAAAATGTACCATCAATTTCTGGACTCTTGTCTCTTCTGCATTATCCATGGAGTGGTAGTTTGGAGCCTGATGAAGTGGAATTCCTCCACGAAAGCCTGCAACTTGTCTGATTTTTTAAAAGTGGTCCCATAAAAGATATCACTGACTTTTACATTTCTTAAAATAAATTGTTTACTTGGAGCTTTCCATGGTCCTGCAGCCACTGGACAGTCTGCAGTCAGCACAGTCGTGCTTCATTTACCTGCACTCTTTTCCGCCCCTATGTCATTCTGCCAAACAGATTCTGAAACTTTTTGAAACAAGAAAACCTGTCCAGTAGAAAGATGAGCACACATATCACAGGCAACACTGCCCCTATCATAATATCAATATATTGGAGGGAGGGGGGAACCTTACGCCTTTCTCATTATTCTGCCACAGGAATCTGATAGTGCCATCAAGTAATGAGATTTTTAAAACCAAACAAGAAGTAAAGGCAAACTATCAGTAGCTGCCAAAAATGACAAATCTCCAATTAAAGTCACCTCCTGTCCTGCAGTATTTAAAACAATAACATGCCCACATGGTGATCCCTAGTTATTTTCTCCCTCCTATTCCACACTACTGAAAAAGAGGAGCCAGGACAAGAATTAAATTTAACAGGGATATGTGCAAAGTTCTACATCGCGCACGGAGGGGGGGGGGAAATCACACAGTTACAAGATGAGGGATACTTGGCTTGGTAATAATACAAGCAAGAAGTACTGTATCTTGGAATTGTTGTAGATCACCAGCTAAATATAAGCCAACAGTGTGATGTGGCAGCAAAGAAAGGCAAAAGCTGTTTTAGGCCACATTGACAGAAGTATAGTCTCCCAATCCCATGATGTTCCCTTCTATTTGACACTGGTTAGACCTTCTGCACCCTGCACTTCAAGAAGGATGCTGTCAAACTGGAATAAGTTCCAAGGAGGAAAACAAAGATGATCAGGGGGATGGAAACAAAGCCCTACATGAAAGAACTGGTTATGTTTAGTCTTGAGAAAAGAAGATTGAGGGGAAGATGTTGTAGGACTTTTCAAATACTTTGAAGACTGCCATGCAGAGGAGGGTCAGAATTTGTTCTTGATCATCCCAGAGTGCAGGACAGATAACATTGGGCTCAAGCTACAGGAAGCCAGATTTCAGCTGAATATCAGGAAAAATGTCCTAACTGTTAGAGCAGTAGAGCACTGGAACCAATTCACTCGGGAGGTGATAAGTGCTCCAAAGCTGGAGGCATTCAAGAAAAAATTAGTCAACTCTCTGTCAGATATACTTTGATTTGGATTCCAGTATTGAGCAGGGGCTGGACTTGATGACCTTATAGGTCCCTTCCAATTCCGTCATGGTTCTAATAACTTTAAGACAGATTTGAGGAACCTACAACTCTCCAGATATAGTGAGACTACAGCTCCTCCCTGCCTACTGGCCATACTAGTTTGGGCTCAAGGAAATTGCTGACCAACAATAATTGACAGGCGAAAAGGGTCTCCAGCCAATCAGTCTTATGGAAGAGAGAATGAAGCATGTGCTCCCTTTTGGGCAGCAGCATTCAACTGGATAGCCATGAATCTAAAACATAAGCAATATTTAAAACTTTGACAACACAGCACAAAGGACAAGATGGGGAAAACCCTTTCTGGGTTGTTACAAAGAAATGCACCATGTCGAGTCATCTGGAATATGCTAAAGTTTTAAACTAATATTTACTCCATTTACAGACAAAAAAACAAAAACAATACATTTGTTTTATACCAGCATATGAAGCTATAAACTACATTTTAATGGACTACTACAATGGAGAATTCCTAACCACCAGCTCTTGAATATGTACATTCTTTATTTCTTCCACAGCAAAAGAAAGAAAGAAAAAGAAAATAGAAAGAAATAGCACAAAGAATATTGAATAAGAGAGGTTCTATTTTACTAAAAATTATTCAGAACTAGGATTGTAATTGTACCTTTGAGACATGTAAACTTCTTCAGTCATGTAAAATGAACAGACCTACATATAAAAAGCAGTAGAGATCCAAAAACCTAATGACAAATACAGGAATTATCCCTCTGAAACTTTACTAAAGGTCAGCTAAATTCTGAGTAAGGTGGCATGATTTTAAGAACGATATCTGAAGAAACAAGACAATATGACTAGTGCAGTTTGTATTAGATGTCATATTGCTATAGAAGTGATGTATAATAACTACTTATAATATATTGGCAGTTTCATATACTAAAGTTGCATGTTCCACTTCCACGTAAAACAACAGCTGAAATACCATTGCCTGTTCTGATCTTATTCTAAGATGTTCAATTCTTTAAAAAAAAAGAATTTTGCTTTGGGCCAGAAATTTAAAAGCACACATGTATTTTAAATTGCATGCTTTTTCAAAAGGCATCTGAAAGATACCTAACATTGTCAAGGATTGTATTTTAAATTCTAAGCTTTTTCTTAAAGACTTACTTGCAAGCAGCCCAACTCCACTTGCAAGGGATCCAACCCATGCAGTCTTCCCTTTTCCTTCCCCAAAGGTGTCCAGCCACTCTAGATACAGAACCCCAACAGCTAATGGAGACCCATAGCACAAGAACTGGGTAAAAAAGGACACGAGCACTATTATCCAGCCCCATCCACCATCTGGTGACTTCTGGAACACCATTTTCCAGGAAGAAGTCACAGTTCAGACGTTCTGTGTGAGAAAACAAACACAAATAGAAAAACCAAGCTGATTAGTAAAATTAATAGAGGTAACAGATCATCAGAAGGCTGAGAATATTTTTAATGATATAAGGGGAGATTTTATAGAATTTGTATTAATAAAAAAGTACACTTACCTTCACAAAGAACATTGCCATTTTGGGGGGGGATAAGACGCTCTGTTATATTAAATGGAAAAGTGGAAGTATCTTTATTGGTCTTGGTGAAGGGGAGCACAATGTTTTAGTTAAATTCATTAGATCAATTATGATTAAGTCAGTTGTGTTATGTATTGTTTATAATCATGTTATGAATTGTTTTCGTTGGTATAACACTGAACATGTGTGGTACAGGCTTGCCAGGCAGATGATAGAATGTATCCCACGGGCAAGGAAAAATTACAGATCAGCAAAAATTGGGTTTACTTTTTAAAAAAGTAAGTGAATAACAGTCCTCCAGAGAGTGGGGCATTTTGCCACATACCTTTAGGGAATTAGCATACCATTTTGTAAGGCATATTAAATATATTTCCCATTACTTTAGAAAAGCAGCAGTTGTGTTTTGTTCTAGCACCTTCAGAAATCACTCTCTCAGGATTTCTAAGACCAAACAGTATCCTCAGGTAAGTTTTTAAAGGGGAAATCAGCTGTAGGCTTGGGGCAATTTTTGAACTTTTGACTCTTGTCAATCAGGACCCATTAGCTGATAGTTAGCTAACAAAACTTTTTAACTTCTCCTTGACCAAACAGAATTCTCAGATTCATGTTTGCAAGAAGATTCTGGTTGTAAAAGTGCAGACACAACAGGAATGTTTTAAAACATTTAAATATAACAAAAAGTAAACATAGTTTTTAAAAATATTATATGAAAAATACAAAACATATATTCAGAAGCTCACTCGGTTAACCTTTGAAATTACTGTTTTTGTTTTGTGGCTGGGGATGGTCTTTCTTCATGTTAGTAGAGCTTTGGGGTCTATATCCTGTCATAGTCTCCATTCCACCCATTCTGTCACTACACAATTACTTGGTAATTTAAAGAACCTCCAAAGATTCTATGTGCTATCTCTCTCACTTCTGACTGTAGCGACTACACGAGCTAATGACCTCCCAAATGTCCTTTCATTAACAGCTACTGACAACATCTCATGTTAGGTCATTGAACCTCCAAAGATTCTATGTGCTATCTCTTTCACTTCTGACTGTAGCGACTACACTGAGTTAATGACCTCCCAAATGTCCTATCATTAACAGCTATTGACAACATCTCATGTTAGGTCATCCTGTCTTCCTACTGCTTGCCCACTTCCTAGCAATATTGTCTTTTCCAGTAAGTTCTGTTCAGGTCTTGCAAACTAACAGCTGTGGATTCCTTTCCAGAGTCAACCCATCTTTTGTTAGGTCTTCTTCTTTTCTTATGACTCCCACCCCACTTTTCCCAGTAACATTGTCTTTTCCAGTCTGTTCTGTATTCTCATTATATGTGCAAGGTAGGCTAGCCTCAATTTTCTCATTTTTTTCTAGTTAGAGTTCAGGCTTTACTTGATTGAACATTCATTTATTTGCCTTTTTGATGGTCTGCTGTATCTTTAAGGCTTACCTCCAACACTACATTTCATATGAATTATCTCCCCCCAGTGCATCTTTTTTTCATTGTCCATTTTTTACATAGTATGGGTGATTTTGACTTGGTTTCAAGCGACAGTCTTTGCTAACTCCCAGCCACTAATTTTTATTTTATTTTTGTTTGTTTTTAAAAATAAGGTGACATCTTTTGGAAACTATGCAGGCAACGGTAAGGGGCAATAGAAGGGGTGGAAAAAGGGTTTGAGTATAAGAGAACACCAAATATATAATCATTTTTATTTTATTTTTGTCTGTTTTTAAAAATAAGATGACATCTTTTGGAAACTATGCAGGCCATATATTTGTAGAGCAAGGATTTGGAAACTGGAAGGTAAGTTTTTAGACTGCATTCTGTAGCAGCATTAGTTTACCTTGGAGATTAAAGGGTGTGTATGTTTCACTGTCATTTGTGTTGCACTTACTCACACTTTTGCTTCACTATTTCATGAAGTCCAAAACAGCCCTTCAAAATATTTTAGCACAAAGGGACTACAGCCACATCCCAGTTGTTCTGGCTTCTGCCCTTTCCCGGCAAACAGAGTACAGATCTTCTGGGATCCTTTCGTATTGGATAATTCTACATTAGGGACATTGCTATTTCAATTTTGTGTCATGTACGTATATTTAAACTTCTATTTTAAAAAAACCAAGGTTATTAAATTCTCCCCCTCCCAAACAACAACAACAACAACCTCTGGGGTTATGAATGTGGGATACTGTGCTTCTGTAGCCACAATTCAAAATGCCAGGAAATGGCCCTATATTGCTGCACACTATTGAGCTGAGATGTCCAGTGCTCCGTCTTGCCTGGTAACCTTCGATTCCTTTCAGTTGGTGACGCCTGATGCTGTGGACAAGGTGCTTGATCGCTGTCATTCCACCACCTCCTCCCTTGACCCTTGCCCGGCCTGGCTAATCAAAGCAGCCAGGACGATAACAACAGAATGGGCCACAGCAATAATAAAAAGGTCTTTCCTTGAGGGCAGGTTTCCATCTGCCCTCAAGGAGACACTCATTAGGCACATAAGAAAGAACCCTAATTTGGCGGTGGACGAAACTGGCAATTATAGGCCCGTCGCCAATGTTTCTTTCATGAGCAAAGTGGTCGAGAGGGTGGTGGCCAATCAGCTTCAGGCTCACTTGGATGAAACAGACGCCTTGGATCCGTTTCAGTTGGACTTTAGGCCGTGCCACGGTACAGAGACGCCACTGGTCGCCCTGTACAATGACCTGTTGAGGGAGGCTGACAGGGGCAAAATGGCCCCTACTTTGGGCACTTTTAAAAGTCAATTAAAAACATGGCTATACATTCAGGCCTTCCCTCCAGTTAATATCTGACTTTTCTGTTTATTCTCTCCTTATGTATTTTCTATTCTATTGTTGTATTCTGTTTATTACAATATGATTTATGTAATTGTTTGTTTTTCACTGTTTTTACTATATTGGAAGCCGCCTAGAGTGGCCTTTTAGACCAGATGGGCGGGGTATAAATCAAATAAATAAATAAATAAATAAAATTGCCAGTAAGAAAAAAGATGCCAAACTTTGTGTAGCGAAAGGCAGCCTGAATGTTAACGACTCCGATGTCAACAGTCAAAATGGTCTACAAGATACTCTCCTGTGCTCCTTACAACTGCAATAAATAAATAAATAAATAAATACATAAATAAATAAAGAAATTGCCAGTAAAAAAAGATGCCAAACTTTGAGTAGCAAAAGGCAGCCTGAATGTTGACAACACTGATGTCAACAGTCAAAATGATCTACAAGATACTCTCCTGTGGTCCTTACCACTAACCAAGCAGGGGGAAATCCCTGAACCTGACTCTTTTTTTCATCAGTTAACAGATTTTCACCCAAACACAAAGCAAGTATCAGGCCGTTTCCTGGCATTTTGAATCATAGATACAGAAGCACAATATCCCACATTCATAAACCAGAGGCCTATTGAAGAACTGAATCTTTGTTAATATTTGTTAGGGCAATCTGATGCCAGCCCGGTTCTGGAACTGTCACTCTTACAGAGTGGCCACAAATCTAGAGCATCCTCTACCACTGCCACCTGGTGGTAATTTGTTATATAACAAACCACGTCCACCTCTCAGTTGCCATTTAAGAGAAAAATGACATATGGTACGTATGCTAAATATGTACAATACTATGTAATGTAGATCTTTTTCCTTTCTTATTCTCTGGTAAAGATTTTTGATTCCAGTCCAGACTGGACAAGTATTACACATAGGAGAGGCTTCTGTTTCCCTTGCAACTGCTTCCAATATATCTTACTTCAACCACTCAGTAATGATAATAATTGTTATGATGTCCCTTCAAGTCAATGTTGATTTATGGTGACCCTTTGCAAGGGTCTCCTAGGTAGAAAGTACTAAGCAGTCATTTACTAGTCCCTTCTTCTAGTGATGCTATAGATTAAAAAAAAGAGGGGGAAAACATTCATGGCAGTGGAACTGTTCTTTTAAACTACAATACTATGGAAGTTACTGAAACAAAAAACTGCTGAAGAGACATTAAAATGGTCCCCACCTACATACATTGATCCTAATGTGGTTCAGGGCTGCACATACCTACTAAAGAGTTAAAAAAAAAAGATCTGGGTTGCATAATCCATATACAATTTAGTGCGTTGTCCCAGATCCACTCCGCATACTGCCACTGGAAGTTTTGCCGTCCATATACTCTGTAAAATGCAAGAATCCCAGTGTTCTCATTGAGCTCATTATTTCAATACTGATATTTTCCTTTGCTTTCGGAACTGAGCCACTGCCTCTACGAACCAGCAGAAAAGAATTTGCACTGGAGTTTTGATACACGAAATTGCTCCCATCCCTGCATGCCAGCAGGGATAAGGAAAATGTGGCCCTACAGGTTGCTGGGCCGCAGCATATATCTCCAGCTAGGGCTGATCTGAGAAACTGAAGCCTGACAACATGTGGAGAGCCTTATGTTCCCCATCCCTGCTCTAAATTAAGGGCACGAATCTACCTTGTTAGTACAACTAAAGAACACATTACTTTTCCATCCGGAGGGATCATTTGCCAATAACACCCATGCTTTGAAACACAGTGAAAGAGTAATGCCTGAATATGAAAATGAACCATCTTCTCCCTTAAAGGCTAGGCTTTCCAACCAGAGAGGCAGAAAGAGAAGAGACTAGAGATGGGCACAAACCATAACCCACCATGAACCAACCGGAAAACAAAACTGGTTCGATATTCAGTTTTCAGTTCATAGCTGTGGGGAGGGGGGGAATGCGTGCTCTTCTCACACCACCACCACCGCCTCCTCCCCAAGTGCCCAGGTGCCATGCTCCATCTTCTCACACCACCACCACCGCCTCCTCCTCCCCAAGTGTCCAGGTGCCATGCTCCCAGGCCGTGACTGGGACTCCTTGCAGGGAAGCTGGAGCATCACCTCTGAACATGCGCCTGCCTCTTTGCTGGTCACCTTGATCACCTGGGAGGCTGGTGCATGCTCAGAGGCAGCAATTAGCTTCCCTGCAAGGAGCCCAGTTTCTGCCTCAGAGCATGGCACCTGGCAAGGAGGAGGGGATGGTGCCACCTGCGCCACTGCAGGTAGGCCAGACGGCCGGGGCAGCAGGAAGGGGGCAGTTGGACCATCCTGGTTTGCTGAAGCAAACGAAACACCAAGTGGAAAAAAAAATTGGCATTTTGTTTTGCTTCAGCAAAACCCAAACTGGGTCACGAACCAGCCTGGATCATTGGATTTTCTGGTTCACCCTTCAGTTCATGCCCATCTCTTGAAGTGACACATCATCCTTTTCAACAGCTGTCCAAATATGACAGTCATTCAAAGATGTCATTACTCTTCCTCTATATGAAAACCTGGCTGAATGTTTGCTTTGCAGGGAGCCCCAAATGGGCAGCTTTTCTTTCTTTAGATGCCACGGCAGCTGGGCTAGATGGTCCGTTCCAAGACGGCAAGCCCTTTCAAGCAACCCAATTAGAGCGGTCTCCCTGTTCCATTCATCCAGTTCCTCCAATTAGTTAACATACACTCATTTTTTAAAAAGCTATCCTAGGAATTCCACCCCCCTTTCCCCCCTCCAAAGACAACAAGATTAGCTTCAGTTTTTGGGAACAATCAAGATATCCAAATATCAGGAAAAAAGAAAGCTGCAAAGTAAAGTAAACATTACAAGAAATGCTTAATAAGGAATAAAAGAAAAACTGTAGGACCTGCATCCAACATGGCACAAATTAACCTTCTGCCTTTGCTGTGGGGCACCCCCTTGCTTGCTTTCCCTCATGTACTCCCAAATCTGCTTTAAAGGGATAACCAAGACAATAATTTTTTGAGGTTTAACTGTTCACAGAAAAATGGGCTACCAATTCCATATATTTATGAGGCATGGCAGGGGGCTATCGTAGGAGGGCATGTCTGTTCCTCCAGCAGTTTCTGTTCTGCTGGTGGCAGATAGACAGGACTGGATACAGCCCTGAGTTTCGTTATGCATCTTAAAACAAAACTGGTAGTCCACCGCCTAGAGTAGTCCACCGCGACTAGATAGGCGGAATATAAATTAAATAAAATAAATAAATAAATAAAATTAAATTACATGGAAATCTAGTAAAGAAAAAGGGGAAAAATCATAGAAACAATAGAAATAAAAAAACATATATTACTTACAAAATGCAATCTTTATTCATTCAGTTTTCCAGAATGTGCTATTGTTTGTGTATCTGGCAACTCAACCTGTGGGGAAATATCAGATGTAGACGAATCAAAAGAACTGCCATAATCAAGTAGTGGAAATAAATGTGGAAATACAGTCTAGTCTACAGGTGCTTTTATACATAGGGGTGATTTTATATAGTGACTTCAAAGACTTGGCAGTTTCTTGGAAACAAAACAAAAACAACACACAGACCCATACACAATGTGACTCAACTGTCATCATCACTCAGACAGCAACCTTGCACCTAAGGTGAGATATAAGGAGACCAACAAAGGGGTGGGGGGGAATTACAGTCTTTTGTAATGATTTAGAAAACTCCTAGAAAGCCAAATGATTTTGATTTATTCACTGGTAATACTTTATCCATAAAATATACTCAATTTGACTTATTTTTCCCTAGCAATTTTCTAAACTTTAAATGTGGCATTTTATAACTCAACAATGTAAATCCAGTTCCTAGTCCAAACTACAGCATACCCATTGAATCAGCTTGTGAATGATGCATCAACAGTGATGCATGTTCAGAAGCAAACCCAATAGGTCTACTCTAGGTTGGACTATTAATTGGATCCAGGCCAACCTCTGTTTCATAAAACCAATAACTCTTAGCATTTACATACTGCATCACAAATATTCACACACGCACATTGTAGGAATCCTTGCAAAGATAATCTATGCCAATATTAAACTACACTGCAGTTTCTGGAGACTGAGGATATGGGAGTAGTAGTTTACCTAAACTGTTTCTAGTTAGGCTGCAGTTAAAAAGTTGAGATTCAGAGATTCCTAAATCAAATCTTTTGATACCTATTACAATACTGCATGAGATGCATATTCAGATAGGATATCAGAATGACTGCTTTATTTCAGACAATACACATTCTCAGAGTCTGAATTAATAAATTATCTTCCTTAAGATTGCCTGGTTTGATAAAAATTGTTTCCCACTTTTTTTGGAAAGCAAGTATATCTGATAGCCCAACTAACATTTCTTCAGAAGCCAAGAGTCGTTGATAGTTTGCAATTCTATCATGAACAATTCTTTCAATTTCAACTTTTTCTGCAAAGAAAAAAATGTGCTTCCTCTTTTCAGAAATTTTTATTTCTTCATAATAGTTTTTGACAAATGAGTTTTCCTCCCAAGTAATGTTGCACTAATATAAACCAGTAGCATGGAGTAGTACAGTACTCCTGTTACAGATGAAACATTTTTAGGGGGAAAAATGGAAATTTTTGGAAATGTTACATCTCTAACTTCAGTAACTGTGTTACACAATCAATTCAAGCACTAAATGATTTACAATGCTTTTTTTATAATGCTCACCAAGTATCTGAATCGGCAAGGCATTGTTTAAGTGACGAATAGTTAACTGAAAGAAGCAGTTACATCCTAGCATTTTTATGGCACACCACAAAAGTCAGATAAATGCTGCACCTTACAGTTCACAGTGTATACATACTGGGAAAAGATGACAGATAATGTCACATGATGCAATGGTTACCTGATTTTATCATTCCATTTTCTTGTTTCCTTTTCAAACCAGAACCTTTTCAATCCACTGATGTGGTTTCCCTTGGCACATCAGAGGTATACAGTCAAGATCTCTTAACAGTTAAGGCACAAGTAATCTCTACTAAATGACCCTGTGTAGGCAATTTTGTTTTAAAAACACAAGAAATGTTTTTCTTGGAGAAGGCTCAAGGTGATTCACAGAGTTCAGTGTTCTTCCTAAGAATTTCCATGCAATCATTCGTGGGCTTTGATAAATCTTCCGCCCACACTCGGAATAGTGGACAGAGCATTCTCATTTAAAATCTCTCTTTGATCAAGGCATTTCTAGGGACCTTTGAGCAATCACCAATTCTCCGTCTAACTAACCACTTGCAGTGTAATATATCTATTATGAGGATAAAACTCGATATCCCTATGCTTGCTACTCTAAGTACCTGGGGAAAAGAATATACAAAGGTGGAAAATGCAGGTAAATTGAACCAAGAAAGTATAGCTTACCAGTAGTGGCCACAAGACAAGACAAGAGTGGTGAGTCTTAAGGGTCTGATGTTCCAAACACTACCTTCGTATTTAGTCCACGACTAAGAACACTTTGTCCTCACTCACGTCTATGAATGATGACTACGTCCATAAATGATGTCCTTACATTGTCCAGAAATGACACCAGCGGCAGCACCAGTGGTGTAGTGGAGGTAGAATGCAAGGGAGAAAAGCCCTAGAGCTTTTTTTTTCAAGTGCAGGAGTGATGACATCATTTGCTGGAGCAGGAGTCACTGATTTCTTTGGTCTCATTCCTTGCAAGTGAATGAAATGGTAACAAGGCTCTCTAGTTTTCCAACTACTTCTGATTGGTTACCATAAAAGAAGTCAGCAAATAAGCAGAGGCTGGATACTGCTTTTATCTGATCAGGTCATTACCCAGATATCTATTCGTAAGATTGCAATCACATCTGAAGAAACAGATGTCTCCAAGAAAGCTAACACTGAAATATAACAGTTAGTCTTTAGGGTGTCACAACATTTTTGTTTTGTACGTTTCGTTTTTGCTTTTTATTTCTGTCTGGATACGGTAGACGTAGTAATTGTATATTATGCCATATCAGCCTTCCACAACCTGTGCTGCCCTCCTGTCATATTAGATCATGATGGGTATTTTTAATTAAACATGTCTGAAGGATATAAGGTTGGAAGAAATTGTCCTATTTACTGCTGCTCTTTGGGTAGACTTTGCTAGAGAAAATAATGGGACATGGTAATACATGGCTAGCTCAAGACAACATCCAACACGTTTGCACTACATTCAGAAGGTACAAATACACCATAAAAATAGAACAGGTTGTTGTTGTTATGTTTATGATTATTATGATTATGATTATTAGTTTTATTTATATGCCACATTTCTCCCAACAAGGGACTCAAAGTGGCTCACAACATTAAAATTCACACAATTAAAAACACAGTAAGTTAAATATCAAAAGACAAATTAAACAATATATGATTTAAAATCAGATCAAAAGATTAAAACATAAAATATTACCAAAATGCAGCCTTAAAATTATCATAACATCTAGAGATACATAGTGAAGGACAGGTCGTCACAAGGGAATAGGAATTTCAGCCCTAGACACACACTTTTATTCTCAAGATACAGTACTTCAAAGCTAGCTGATGATAGGCTAGATGATACCATCAACAGGAGCTGCTTGTGGACTGAACAGGCTGGCACCTCACCTCAACATTGACGGATGTGCCCTGTGTCAGTGTTGCCATAAAGCTGGAATATTTACAACATGGTTAGGACCTGCTTAAATTTCTCAAAAAAGATACTCCAAAAATAGGAGAAATAATGAAGCCACATGGTGCAAATGTCTTTTCTATGAAAATTACAGTATTCTGAAATAAAGGAACACCTAGCCATCTTTCTAGCATTGTGATATTATAATAAAACAGATGTTTCAGAGGTGATCTTGGAAATATGATCAAAGAGAGACAAAAAGGCTTTTTTATCTGAAAAAGGCTTAGATTCTGCATTCACATACTCGAGAATTTCTTACACCACATTGTGATCAAACCTACACAACCACATACTTACTCATGCTTACAATTTCTTCCACCAGCAAATATATGGCAGCTCTTCCAATCATGTGTGTGTGTGTGCATGCACGCACGCACACATACATATCTGTATGGCACAATATTCCCTGGCACAGAGCTGTCTGTTCTGCCACTGTGTGTTTGTAACATGCTGCATGACAACAAAAGTAACAAAAACTGTCCAGGCTGTCTCAGCCCAGTTCAAACATTCTTGATGGGGCATCAACCTTTGCTGATGCAGCTCACTTACCACACAATAGACCATGTGCTATATCAAAGACAGAGAGAGATGGCAAGGCATGTTATGCATGGGAAGAATATTGGTAATGGTGGGATGTTTCAAAAGCAACCATTGTCTGTGACATATATACCTTTACAGGACTTGAGTAATGTACATCCCAGTCTCACAATTCCAGGAGCACAGACTCAGACTCTCCCTCTTATAGATTCATCTGGTAGCCATCAACCTAATTGGACTTTTACATTACATCCTGGGAAACAAGGTTCCCGAATAAGTTTATAATATTAAGTTTGGTGTACAGCAGCAGAGATGGAAGGAAACACAGATTTAAGATCATAATCCAAACAGGAGCAAGTAAGTTTACAAATGCAGACTAGACTCAGCTGAACACACAGTTAGGGACTGGAAAAGCAGAACTGAACTTCTGGCCACCGTCCAACCACCATTATCAAGAGTGGTTCCAGATACAACTTTTATCCTGGAGCTGCTCTGCCTCTGACCTGAAGTTTTGCACAAGGTCCAGGTCATGTCATCTCCTGTTTGAGACTTCCCACCACTTGCGTCTTCTTTTTTTTAACAGAAAATCCATGTAGAAGGAAAAGAGGGAATGTGCACACCCTACTGTACCTCTCTGCTGCAGCTTCCTCCTTTTATTCCTGGAAGCAGCCCCAGCATCTGTACCCAGACACTTTTACACTCACTAGCAATTAAGAACAAAGATCTCTGCACACTTACTGAGAAGTAAATAACTCTATGTTCAGCATGTCTTGTTGTTTAGTGGTTGTGTCTGACTCTTGGTGACTTCATGGACCAGAGCACGCCAAGCCCTCCTGTCTTCCACTGCCTCCCGGAGTCGGGTCAAATTCATGTTAGGAGTTTGGTCAAATTCATGTTGGTTGCTTCAATGACACTGTCCAACCATCTCGTCGTCTGTCCTCCCCTTCTCCTCTTGCCTTCAGCATGTCTTAGGGAGTCCCAGGTATAAAAAGGGGCCCACTAAATAACCCACGTTGTTACATGATTTTGTCAGAGATCAAGTGGCATACAGAAAGGCGGCAAGTTCCTACGTTTCTGGGAGACTCTGAACACCCCTGGCTGTTGCGAAAGGATGGTGATCAGGTAGGTCAAGGGGGGCAAACATGATCCCTGCTGCCTGATCTCTGCGCGGCTTGCAGAGAGAGACCGCTTGCCGTTTCCACACACCCCTCCACAGCTGACGTCTGGAAACAAAACAAGACCGCGGGGACTCCTCTTGGCTCACCCGCCCCGCAAGCCCTGAAACAAAGTTTACACCTCGCCTCCTTTGCCCCACCCTCTGCCCACCCGTGACCCCCGCGAAACCCGCCTCCGGCGTACACTGAAGTGGGGAGGAGCGATCCGCGCCCAGTCCATGTGGACGCCGCCACCAACGGTCAGTATTGACAGTCGCGTCAAGTAAGCACTCATGTCATAGAAGAGGGTTTGATGCTCTTCGCTTCCTGTTTTGCATCTAGCAGATTGTTCATCGTCTGTGCCATCAAATCAATTCTGGGGGAGCCTTTCCAGGGTTTTCTAGGTAGAGAGTACTCAGACGTGGTCACCCATTCCCATCTTCTGGACGTGTGCTGGGACGGTGCAGCTGGCCCAACGCCACCCAGGCTGGCTCTTCTCCTGGGAAGCCCAGTGCAAGAATTGAGCTCCCAACCTCTGGCTCTGCAGCCAGGGCACTGCCGGGTGCAGCCAGCCAGCCAGCCAGCCAGAACCGGCGGCCGGTACAAACCGGTTGTAACTAAGCGAGAGGGTGCTGTGCGGCTTGTGTGTGTGTGTTTTCTGGGGAGGAAAAGGGAGGCGGCGGCCTTAGCGCGGCGGCGACTGAGAGCGCCCGCTGCTTTTTCCTGCCGCCAGAAAGAGGCGAGCGGCCAAGGTCTGCGAGCAATCTCCTCAGCCCCAGCTTCACCCCAGGGAGGCGGCCAAAGAGATCTCTGCCTGTGCCTGCCTGCCTGCCTGCCTGCTGACAACGCACCTGCGCCGCCATGGTCGCCGGCGGCCCCTTCCCCCTCGGCGCCCGCTGGAGTCCCCTTCACCCCGCAGCGCTTCTCGAAGGGGGAGAGAGAACGCGGGAGGGCGACCCTTTCCACGCCTCGGAAGGGAGCTCTTTCACCCCGGCTGGCGTCTGAGAACGTGGCCCGCGGTCTGCGAATGCTTACGCTATGAATAAAGAGTTGGGGGCCTTTCACGTGCCACCATTTATTTGTTTTGGGGGGTTGGGTTTTTTGGGGGGGGCTACGACGGCCACACACACACACACCCGCGGGAAACACTATCGTTCGATGTCGCGAGGATGCTGGGATCAAGTGTTGTGTGAAAGGAAGCCTTAAAAGGAGACGGGTCTCCGAAAGTTGGGTCACCCTGCTGCCCGCGTCACACCCATCTCCCCCCCCCCAAGCTGCTGCTCCTCTCGGACTGGAGATGGGACGGAGGGAGGGCAGTTAGACGCGTTTCTCAGCTCGGCACAGCTTGAGAGCTGGAAGAAGAAGGTCAACGAGGCTGGGGTCTAAGATGGGTCCGGAAAGGCCGCCGTTTCCCGCTCCAGGCGCCTGACGTACCCCCCCCCACACACACACACACACACGCAGGGAGACCTTGTGCTGACAAACGGGCGAGATGGCGGGAGTGCGGTGGGTGGGACATGCAAAGCTGCCCCTGGTGTACTTTCTTTTCTGTTGCAAGGCCGAGCCCCTGGTACTGGAAAGGGAGACACCAAGGCTGAGCCTTGCCATCAGTTAAGCTGCGAGGGGAAGCGAGGCGGACCGAGGCTCGCCTGTGTGGCGAGGCTGTGGCAGCTCTGTTGTGGACGGCTTCCTTTCCCGAATGACAGGGAGGGGAAACTCTCTCCTGACTCAGGGGATGTGGGAAATGGACTCCGGCCGGGTTCACGGGCTGTTTATCTGTCACTTCATAGGTCCCAGGGCTGAGCCCTAGTCTTGAAAATAAATGTCAGTGACAAGCTTTGGCACACCTTAAGGAATCCGTTCTAGTGGCCCTCCTGTGTGCTCTTGCAAGGGAACCTCGCTGGACCCAGATGGGTTTAACTCCTAAAAAGCACAAAGTCTGGTTGTACATGCAGATGGCATCTCCTCCTTCCCTTGTAGACCTTGGCTGTTACTCCTTCTCCTAGCCCAGCAGTGTGATTTTTTTAAGTAGTCAGGAGGGTTCTCATGATCAAATCAGCCAGTCTTACAACAGCATTTGCAAAATAAGCCAGCATTTTCCATATACTCTAAGGAAGAGAGAACTATGCTAAAATAGCAGTGTCCTGCAGATAGTCTGACAAGGTAGGATCTAACCCACCCTGAGTTACCAGTCTTAAACATGATATTACATCTGTTTTTGAGATACCAATCTCTCTCTCTCTCTCTCACTCTTTTTTGCCTCCTGCATCTTCCTCCTCTCTCTCTCTCTTTTTTTTTTGCTTCCTGCATCTTCCTTTAATCAGTATTTACTGCCACCAACACCCTGCTCCTCCTTTCCCATCAGTATCTTTACAAATACAAATTTTACCTGGAAATAAGTCCCAATGAATACAGCAGGGCTCACCTTCCTGTAGCACATAGATAAGTTTAGGTTATAATTCTCTTGAGCCATTGCCCTTCTTGAGCACACCACCTCCATGCCACAGATACCAATCACATACCCAGGTGCTTCAGAGCTTTGCTGTTATCTTGCACAAACATTTCACATTTGCTGTGTCCCATCTTTCATAATGATGTAAGGTAAAGGTAAAGGTTCCCCTTGACAATTTTTGTCCAGTCGTGTTCGACTCTAGGGGGCAGTGCTCATCCCCGTTTCCAAGCCATAGAGCCAGTGTTTTGTCCAAAGACAGTTTTCCATGGTCACATGGCCAGTGCGACTTAGACACGGAACGCTGTTACCTTCCCAACAAGGTGGTCCCTATTTATCTACTCGCATTTTTACATGCTTTCGAACCGCTAGGTTGGCAGGAGCTAGGACAAATGACGGGAGCT